ACTTCTAGAGAGAGGGAACCTGGTGGGTTTTAAACTTTTGACAGGGGAGATTCCTTAGTTCTACTTTACACAGAAACTGAGAAAGGAACTTTCTCAAAGTATAATTTCCCCAAATGGGGAACTGCCTATACCTGCTGAGTCTCACAGAACTAGATTGTTTCCTAATTAAACAGCTTTCACCTCTAGGGAGTAGAAATTAAAATTATTTCATAAAATGTCTAGCCATTCCTCATATTCTAAGCTTCCTGAAACTCTTATCCCCAAGTTAGAGTATCAAAATGTTTAAAACAAAGAAAAGGAAAATTTTTATTCCACCGTAATGGTAAAAGCCATTTAAAGACTTTAAAGTAAATCCTAAAAATTTGAATATTAACTGTTAAACTTTTCAATGCCACAGGTATTTTACTGTCTGCTCTATATTCAGCATTGTATTAAATACAGATGGCCCTCCAGATGTGTGGGTTGTGCATCCTTGGATTCAGCCAACTGCAGATGGAAACTTTTTTAAAATTACATCTGTACTGAACATGTACTACAGTGGATTGAATGTCCCCCTCAAATTCAGTGAAGTTAAAATGTGTCCCCCAGAGTTCCAGGTATTGAAAACTTGACCCCCACTGTGACACCGTTGAGAGAGTGGGAAATCTTACTGTGAGGATTGAAAGGTTTGGGGCCTTGAAGAGGTGATTAGATTGTAGGACCACTGCCGTAGAGAATGGATTAATAATGGAGGTCAGGAGCATGGTTCTGAGGGCTTTAAAAGGAGAGCATGTGAAAGTCTCTCTTGCTCTGCTCCGCTATTTTCTGCCATATGACACCCCTGCATTGCTGTAAAGCCACCACCAAAGAAGACCCTCAACAGATATGTTCCCTGGACTTTGGACTTCCCAGCCTCTGAAACTTTAAGCAATAAATTTCATTTTCTTATAAATCACCCAGTTCCAGGTAATTTTGTTATAAGCAACAGAACTAATACACGTACAGACTTTTCTTTTCTTGTCATTATTCCCTAAACAATGCAGCATAATAACTTTTTGCATAGTATTTACATTGTATTAGGTAATTGTGATATTGTGAAATAAATATTTTTGTCTTCCATCCCTGTCTCCTGGCATTCAACTCCTAAAATCCTTGGAATCTCCAAAGTGATGACTGTCTTTTGTATGCTAATGAGTTGACTGGTGGCTGGCAGCCCCTTGATGGCTTCTGGGTGGGTGCTGGTCACAGGAAAGACTAAGGCTGGAATAGAGGGTTGGGACTTTCAGCCCCACCCTCCAACCTCTGGGAGAAGAGAGGGGCTGAAGCTTAAGATGACCACCAGTGACCATTGATTTAATCAATCATGCCTACTAATGGAGCCTCCATAAAAACCCAAAGGACAGGGTTTAGAGAGCTCTCAGTGAACTCTTGGGGGCTTGTACACCCACATGCATGGAAGGTGGCACACCCCAATTCCACGACACAGGAACAGAAGCTCTTGTGCTCACGACCTTTCCAGACCTCACCCTGTGTATCTGTATGTGTTTGTAGCCTTTAACACATACTTTATAATAAATGGGTAAACGTTAAGTAGGTGTTTCCCCGACTTCTGTGAGCCACTCTAGTAAATTAGTCAAACCTAACTGGGGGGTTGTGAGAACCCCAACTTGAAGACAGTTGGTTAGAAGTTTTAAAGGCCTGGCCTTGCATCTGGTGTCTGAAGTGGGGGCAGTCTTGTGGGACTGAGCCCTCAACCTGTGGGATCTGACTCTGTCTCCATGTAGTTAGTGTCAGAATTGAATAGGATGACACACACTGCACTATTGATTGCTTGCTTCCTGGTGGGTAAAGATCCACACACATTTGGTCACAGAAGTCTTCTGTGTTGATTGTTGCTGAGTAAGAGTACAGGAAAAAACACTTTGGTTTGTTTATTCCTATACACGTATATGTAATCTAGAGACAACTTAAAGTACATAGGAGGATGGGCATAGGTTATATGCAGTTACTGCACCATTTTGTATCAGGGACTTAAGCACCCACCAAGTTTTGTATCTGTGGGAGATTCTGGAACCAATTCCCTATGGATACCAAGGAACAACTGTACTTACATCACCCTCGATTAAGATTCTTTATTTTTATCGACCAAATTTCAGATGAACAAAAAGCATCTCACCCTTGATCAAGCCCACATTAAATGACTTGAGCATGATTGTCTCTGGGTTCCTGTATACTCCATACCACATGAAGCAAAGTTCATAACAGTCTTATATGTGTCTTTGTCTTTGATTCAATGGTTCAGCAATATTAGTGACTTTAATGGGATAAAAGTTAGCCTTTTAGCAATAGAAATCTAAGGGATTTTGATTTTCATTTGTAGCAAAAGTAATGTACATTTAAAATATGAGTATCTTACAAAGTGGTCAGGTATTTTTATTGGGACTCTTCTCCTCCATTTAAAAGGATAGCCGGTAGGTGCCAAGTAACAGATTCCCTAAATCACATCTAGGGAGTTGTGACCGGTGTACTGTGGAAAATAGAGCACAATGAGATCGTGGAATGATTATTTTTCAATTAAGGAGAGTTTGGTTTGTTAACATTTTAGATGTCATCCATTTGGCTGATATTTAAAACCCAAAATGAGTTTGAGCTTTTTGTACTTTTGCCTACTCATCTTTTAAATATATGGGAAAAGAGTGGTTTTTGAAAACTAAGGATTTCAATTTTTTTGTAAACTAGGAGACTGACAAAAGTTATTGTAATTTAGTTTATATAAATGCTACAGAAGTTCTTGCTCAGTTTGATAGTGCAGTGCAGACTCAGTAAGCTAGGAAGTATCTCTTCCTCTTTCTTTTAGGAAGCATGTTATTTGGTTAAAAAGATGGCAGATGATGCCAGACAGATGTGTTGGAGCCAGTGAGTGAAGGAGGAAGTGTGGTCCTGGACGAGGAAGATTCCTTCTAGCTGGAAGAGTTAGGAATGCTGTATAGAGCAGGTGGACTCCATCTTGGGCCTAAGAGAGAGGCAGATTGATCTGTACAAATACATGACTGTAACTACTAGTTACATCTCAGCTTCTGTGATATAATGTCATGCCAGCATCATAATAAAACTGAGGCAAAATTAATAGAGATTATTTTAGCCTGTGTTATAACTTTTCCCTGCCTCATATAGCTTACCAACAATTTTATAAAAAGTTTGTCACTTGCCAAACCAGACTGGCATCCTCTGTAGTCCTAGCAGTAAGGTGTGCTAGGCCTTGGGGCCAGGAAGGCAAGGCTGGGTTCAAATCCCTGCCTGACACTTGTGGCCTTGGATAGCTCACTTAGCCTCTCCAAGCCTCTTTGCCCACCTATAAAATGGGCAGTTATGTCTACTTTTGTATTTTTGAAGATTAGGATCCATATGTGAAAGCATACCCTTTCTCATTGTGCTCATCTGAAGATAAACTTGTTTCTCATACTTAATGATCTTTTCATATATTCACCCTGAGACAGTTTGCTGTTCTATCAGGTTTTGGCTGTTCAGAGTCATAGATCCATAGATGCTGTCTGTACTTGATGTTGGGAGATGTTCCAAATTTTCAGTCAGTTGACACTGAGTGATTTTACAGGTACAGATCTCACATTTCTGGCTCACATTCCTAAATCAAGCAGTCTTACTGTTTCTTGAACTAAAAATTCTGATAGGAACCTAAACTAATCAGTAAGACAACTAATAAAAGTTAATTGAAAGTTTATTTTTTGTTGTTTAAACCTGCCGGGCTATTTCCTATGGTTACTGATATTTTTTTCCTCTTTATAATTGTATTTCTTAGGTAAAGGGCAAAACAATCTCTTAAACATTTCCATTTCTGTGATGGGATGGCTGACTTCAGTGCCTTCCAAGACCAGACCAACAGCCCAAGCCCAGCTCCACAGATACAGGCCTAGTGCTGGGCTTCTGGGTGTTTGTTTTTAAGGCTGAGAATCTGGATTCACTTGTGAAACATCAGAGAGATAGTGGATATATCGTTGCCTGCATTTTTGGGGTTTTGTTTTTTAATACTAAAGCCAAATCAAATACATCTATGGACTGGTTTGCCTTGTTGGACATCAGTTTGCCATTGCTTCTCCATAGTGACTATCTTGATGTTTGTGCAAAGGGTACTTTCCAGTATTTACCTGAATAATCAAATTCCATACCTTTTCACGTACATGTGGATTATGTGTTTTATTTCAATCATAGATAGTGATTTAAAACTTGCACTATTAACACCAACTATCATGATTTAAACATGCAATTTCAGGGAAATCTTAAGCAGGTTCTAATTGTACTCTGTCCAGAAAGTCCTACTTTGGTATTTAACTCATGGTTTTTATCAGTGAGTTATAAATACACCAGTGTGCCCTGCATTGTAAATTTTATGTGGTTTTAGAGTGGAGAAATTGTCTTAAATTATTTGTAATAAACTGAAACTCAATTGTTGAAACCTCCAAAATAACGTCTCCACATCATTGCATTTATGATTATGGTTTAACTCTCCAAAAGCAGGACTTATAGTGGGATTGTTAAAGAATCTGCCAGTAAATAAGTATAATATACCTTAACTGAAATGTCCAGATGAACACTTTCTTAAACTTCTAGTAAGTCAGTTGAGGAAATAAGTTTTAAAATGCAACTACTTCTTTACAACCACAATTTACAGAATCTTATCTTTGAAACACATCTGTTTTGAAGTACCATTTGTCAAAATGGGCATCTGGACCTTTCTATAGGATATTAAGTAGAACTGGAGAAAGAAGGAATTGAACAATAGTGTCTTGTCCTCAACAATGCTGCTGTTGGCTTACCATCTTCTACAGGTTTTCATATTATGCAAACAAACACTTACTGTATGCTATAGTGTAAGCAAATGTGACTGCCTCGAGTTACTGGGGATCCTTTCCAACCCTCACATTTCCCTGCCTTTTTCTTCTAAAGGTCACACTGAGCACAAGTCTGGAAGAATGTTAAATCTTTCTCACCTTTATTTTCAATAGGTGGAATACATGTTGGTATCTTTTGATCATGAAAAGAAAAAAGTTCAATTGGTCCTGTCTGGAGAGGAAGTTCTTGAAACTCTACAAGAGAAGGGGGAAAGGACAAATCCAAAGTAAGCTGATGTACTGAAGCCTTGACTTCATGTTTCTGAAACTCTTTAGAATATAGAATCTTTTCTCAGATTTGTAGGAGGCAGGATAGCATAGCAGTTAACAGTACAGCCTCTGGTTCCAGGTTGGCTGGGTTTCAGATCCCAGTTCCTCTACTCAGTAGCTGAGTATCCTTGGGCAGGTGACTTAATCTCCTGTGCCTCAGTTTCCACATCTGTAAAGTAGAGATAACAATACCTACCTCTAGAGTGTTGGGGATTAAATATATTAATAAAGTAAAGCATTTAGTACAGTAAACTAAATATAATGTCTGTTAACTATTAAACTTTTTTTTAAACATACATTGCCAAAGCATAGTTGGAATCACAAACCATGGTGCAAGATAAAACTTGTGGATGGGTTTTGTTTGGCTGTCTTGGTGTTTTAAAAATATGTCTCTATTTAAGTAGACAGAGGGAAAGGGCTCTTCAGTTTATTTTCCATTCACTAGTTTTTGGGAAGCTGCATTTGAGATTGGTCTCTAGCATTGAACTGAAAGAGCCCTTTAGGCCTCACCTCCTTTCCTGCAAAGTGGACTAGCTTGTCCTGGACAGTGAGTGCCCTGTGTGCATTTTCAGTTATTTATAAATATTTTGGATCCAATACTTCTTAACCTTACATAGTTGAAGAGCTATGGAAAAGTAACACTTGGGAATTGTAAAGGAGTTCTTAGCTTCACTTATACCTTCCAGTTTCTAAATTTTTTAAGCAAGTTTTAAAATATGTAAAAATTGAGTAAAGTGTAGCAAAAGGATAGGACAGAACTAAATTGTTTCTCTTCTGTAGCCATCCTACCCTGTGGAGACCAGAGTATGGGAGTTACATGATTGAAGGGACACCTGGACAGCCCTACGGAGGAACAATGTCCGAGTTCAACACAGTTGAGGACAACATGAGAAAACGCCGGAAGGAGGCTACCTCTATATTAGAAGAAAATCAGGCTCTTTGCACAATAACTTCATTTCCCAGGTTAGTTCCTATATAACATGCCCCAGCAGATGTATCAGAGCTGTAATTTATAAAGATAGTATGTCATAGCCTGGCATTTCACCCTACAATTCTCATACTTTACAGACAGCTCATACTTAATATGCTGCATTTGATAGATTCCATAACGTTAGAACTGCAGGCAAAAATTGCCTGCCAGCTGCCCTGGGTAGATGGTGGCCACCCAGAGCACTGTGATAAGAGCACTCATGTGGGTTCAGTGGGAAAGACCATGGTGGCTGTGATGATTGATTAGCAATGTGGCGATGTCCACCCCAGGCAAGGGTGGAGGGAGCAGCACGTCTGCCAAGCATTTCTGACCCCATAAGGAGTAGCAGTCTCCTGATGCCCATCAAGTGCTCTTCTCACTTGACTGTAATGGTTGCTCCCTCATGAACCTTCACAAAGGAGCATTTGCCAACTAGTGTGCTGTGGTATTGTTGGCAGGTCAGAGGGTCACCGGTGTACCCAGTTCATGTTAACTACAAACAAGATGAGTCATCAGGTCATATTTGGATAATATGCTGAAAAAGACAAGTTAGGGTTTGTCATCAAATCTAGTTATGACCAAAAGTACATAAAAGTAAATATAAATAATGAAATTATGTTCTTAGCTTAGAATAAGGTACATAAATATTGTACATATTATATATAGGACCTCTATGTAGGGATGCAGTTCTGCCAAATCATAAGTCTGACTTATGCTAACACCAAGGTCCAGGGTTTGATCCCTGTACCTGCCAGCTGCCAAAAAAAAAAAAAAAGTCTGCTTGATAAGTCTGATTTATCAAGGCTAAGTATTTGTCAGATTGTGACATATGCTTACTTCCTCAGAGTTCATAAGAGCTTTGCGGGTTGGTATCCACGGCCTAGAATACTTTGAGCTATTTTTATACCTCCCCCCCCCCCCCCTGTTCCC